TTGACTGGATTCCAATCAGTAGCCGGTTGTGTGCGGTCCGTTTGGCTGGCTTGTTAAAACATTGGAAATCGCTCGGGACTACCAGGTGTCTATACGTCACCGCTGCCTATGCACCCACAAACTCTAGCGATGATTCGTAAAAAACGGCATATATCGCCAAGTGAACGTGTTCCTTCGCCACCGAAGCAGCTCGGACACCGTTGTGCTGGCTGGGGATCTCAAGTTGGAAAAGCTCAAGTTGGAAAATTATCCACTGATGAACAGCCACTGGGCGGCCAATATGGTATAGGCTCCCGTAATGATAACGGTGAGCGGTTAATTCATTTGTGTGAGGAGCTTGCTTATTTCTTGCGAGCACTAATTTCCGACACAGCACCTGCCGGAGAGCGACTTGGCGCCCACCAGCCTCGAAGCAGCTATGGACGCAAATGGAGCACATTGCGATAAGTTACCGATGGCGTAGCTGCTTCCAGAACCGACATTCGATTTGGAGCACAGGTGTGGACTCCGACCACACATTTGTATGTGCTGACTTGCGGATGCGTTTTGGAGGACGCACACGGCGGGGTTATGAGCTCATTGACACCAGCCATCTGACGAAGCCATCTGTTCTGAATGCCTATCAATGTACGCTGTCATGTTAGTTGAGAAAGCGCTCACTGGATGCAATTGAAACTCATTGGTCGCATATTCACCTGTCCTTACTAGCAGCAGGCAAATTCTCATTGGTAAGTCTAATCGCCAACATAAACATTGGGTCTCTTCGCAGTCTCTGGCACTTATCGATGATCGTCGGCATATTCCGGCTGGAAGCGAACACGATGAACTCGCAATGAGCTTCGGGCAAAACTCCGTGCCAGCCTGAACGGAGACCTCGGCGAATTCTGTTGGTCTCATCGTGCATCAGAGATGGAAATGGTCGCTGCCCTTTTGGTACTCATCCTAAGTTATTCCGGCTGATACGGGAAACGGGCAGCAGGAGAACTGGTGTTAGTGAAGCTATAGGTGACGAGAGTGGATAGCCTATCCACAACTTGTCAAAACGCTTGGAGCATTGGGCTGAGAATTATGAAAAGTGGTTTAATCGGTCGGAATTGTTAGATTTCTCGCCGGGCACTGATCGCCTCGCTCCGTGTGCTCTCCCTTTGGAGAAACACACTCGCACAGATTCGGACGTGAGGTGGGTCTGTTGGAGTGAAATAAAGCCGCCGGACCAGATGATCTACCTCCAGCCCTCATCAAATTCGAGGGACCTGTTCTTTTGAATGATTTACACGTGTTATTTGGGAAACTATTGGACCATGATACTGTCCCAACCGACTGGAGCTGCTCCGACATAGTACCACTTTTCAAAGGTTGCTCATGATCGGAATGCCGCAACTAGAGAAGGATCAGTCTGGTCTCCATCGCTTCTAAATTGCTTGCCTCTGTCATCCTTCACTGAAGAACTGGCACTTGTGAAACGCAGATTCGGGAAGAGCAAGTTGGGTTTCGTGGAGGTCGTGGCTGCATTGACCACATCTTCTCTTTGTTTCAGTTGTTGGAGCACCGTCACATATATTTGCGTCCCACCGTTGTCTTGTTCCTCGATATCAAGGGTTCATTCGATTCGTTGGATAGACCTGAACTTTGGGACTGTACACTCAAGAAAATGTACCTGAGGAATATGTAAATATTATCCGAGCATTATATGCGCGTAGCTCGGGCAGGGTTAGAGCTTACGCCAAGTTGTCGTGGCCTTAAATATCTCCAGAGATGTGAGTCAAGGAAGCCTGCTGTCATCTTTCCTCTTCAAATTCGCCATTGACGAATTCATGGAAAATGCGTTTACAGGACACGATTTAGGTGTGGATCTGCTCCAGGAGAAAGAATTATTAACTTAGATTATGCTGATGATTTTGCCTTTGACAGCTGACAAACGTAACAAGCGGCACTAGACAGAGTAGCACTGGTTGTCCATCACTTCGGGCATTGCTTCGCACTATCGAAGTGCAAAGCGTTCCTCCAACATTGGCCTGGACTGCCTTCTACTCTGACCCTTGGTGTGGATCAGCTAGATGTCATTCTGAAATTAAACTACCTGCGATGTTGTAGTAGCGCCCGTGGGATTGAAGTTGAGATCATGAACCGTATAGCAAAAGCTCGAGGCGCTTTTGATAACATTTGCCACTTATGGCGCCGGCGCGACATCACTCTCGTCCTGGAGGTTAGAGTGTACAATACAGCGGTACGTTCGACCCTAATGTACGGTTGTGAAACCTGACATCTTAGACTAACGGACATAAAGAGGCTAGTTACGTTCGAACAGCGATGCCTTCGCAATTTGGCTCACATCTGGTGGGAACACCGAGTGAGCAACGAGCGTGTTCGACACTTTGTTTACGGAACAGGAAAAGTAAGTGAATCGCTCAGCACCGTATTTCACTCACCAGGCTCCGATGGCTTCGCCACGTGTCAAGCACGCCTGCCCACCGACTCCCGCGACGTGCGATGTTTATGCTCCTAGGGTGTAGATGGAGGAAGAGGATTGGTGGCCCAGCGATTTCATGGTTGAGAAGAATGAAGGCTCTCACTTCGAAGCTGGCCTCGGTTGAAGATTTCTCCGCTCCTTGGTTGGGGTCCGAAGGACGACGAACACGTTCGGCTGGATACAATTTTGGATATGGCTAGGAGCTGACCTCAGTGGTGTTCGTGCTGAGAGTTTCTTTGTCCCATCCCATCTCTCTTAGCCTCCCCTCCAACCACGTCTCCTTATTTAGTATTTTTGCGTAGTAAGATATTTGTTTTTTTTGCTGCATAAAAGCCGGCAGGAAGCTAATCAGATCGATGCCCATCCGTTACCGGTAGCTCAGCTGGCTTGCATCTGTTGCACTTTATTCCCCTCTTTCTTTTAGGTTTTTGGGGCACAGTAGTTGAGTTGTTTCCCTCCTCTTGCTAAGGTATATAGTGTGTGTGTGCGCGCCTTTTGAGCTGCTACTCCCGTACCTTTTGCATTGATCAACTCCAATTTGTACAATAACATTTTGTCTAGCCCATGCAAAAGTGCGTAACTATGCAGCTCATTCACACAGTTCTTTGTTTTTGAATACAACCGCATTGATTGCTGTTACTCTCGGAGGTATCCGGCACATGATCCTCTGACTCGCTGCCTTCTTTCTGTTATAGTCGGTTTTCTAATATGTTTCTGACAATTAGATCTTCAGCAATTTTCAAATCTGAGGTATATTCCACATTGATATCCATAGCAACGAACACTTTTGCTTGATGGCTGTGATTGTGCAAGCGCTGAACTCGTCCTGAGCGATGAAAGCGTCATCAGAAAGTGCATTGGATGCCAGTCAACTGAAGCCAGCAAGTCGAAAGTAAACTTTATCGTTGCACCGGTAACCTGACTCTAAATATTTGAACTGGACTGAAATGCATCCGTGACAGAAATCTTGGCGCTGACGTGCATGGCAGAGAGTGAGTCAGTTAACACGTTGTTTTGGAAGTGACAAATATTTCGCTCTGCATATTTCTTTGTGTAACGCATTTTAAGATTCCTAATTACGCCTTGTTCCATGGATTGAAGTATGCGGAGCACGCCTGCCGACAAAAATTCTATTTCAATTTTACTCGCCTTCTAACCGTGCTAGCGCTGTGCTATTAGCCAACAGCAACATAATTTTTTAGCCACTTTGATCTAGGTGCTTGTACTACTAGAGGATCCACTCGGCTTAAGTTCTTTCGTCATTCACGCTTTTGTATTAGCTCTGTGACTTTCACGTTATTATACCGTAGTTTCGTACCTTTTACAACCAAAACCAGTTCCTTTTTATCATTGCATGCATATTCGCGCAGCACAGGACAGTTCTCCTATCCAGTTCTCTCTATCCAGTTCTCCTATCAACCCCCTGAGTTTGCCGGCAGAAAACATGAAGAGCCCTCTGGAGTTACTCGTTAGAAGAGCCGTGTCTCGTCTGCATTGTACACGTTATCATCAACAAATTCATTTAAAATTTTATGCAGTTGATCTTCCAGCCAATTTTTACAGACTGCTCTGTCTGCGGAACTACTTTCACCATGCGCACGTATATACATAATTGGATTTCTATTCTTCCATCGTCACAAACATCCTCCTGGGACTGCAAAGCTTTTTAAGGTCTTCTGCCTTTTTCTTCAGAAGCGGGAATGTAACTCTGTGCTTGTGCTCATGAACCTGTATCGCCCAGCATTTTAAGACAGCTTCAGATTTCCCAGCATTTTTTGTGTGCTTACGGTGCCATGTGACAAATTCTAATGGAGTTCCTTTTCACTGGTAATCAGAGTGGCTGGAGTACGAAAGTAAATGTGTAAATCACGCGATAAATTGGCCTGCAAGGTTCCTGATGGATAAGTGCCATTTTTTCCTTGAAACCCAACTTTTCTGTCAAGCACCTCGTTTCTTTTACTGGCCATAATTTGTGTAACTATTTGTCAGCAGATAAATTAGAGCGGACATATTATCCGACCGCTTAGTTCTTGAGTTTGGAATGCAGCCGAGGTTTTGACCACAGCCGTCAGTACATTTAGCTTGCTCGTGTATTGAATGACGTAGGAAACCTTTTCCGATCTGTTAATAACACAGCTGACATCATTGTTGTTCTTGATTTGATCGGACTGGCTAAAGGTAGGATAATTTTAGCGAAGAATAGTCAGAGCGTGGGTGTTAAGTAGACAAAGCGAGGAGAACACAGCACTAGCAGCTGAACAATTAATGTGGCAATTTTGAAATACCGATCAATAAAACGGGTTGGGCTGTAAACTGGGCGGGCAATATAGCGGATTCGACTTTAGTTTACATATAGCATATAATGGAGTTAATATGTATGTTGTTTTCACGGCAACTTATTGAAATCCAAACGGCATTATTTCCATACTTTGTTAAAAAGCCTCTTTCGCTATCTTGTTCACTTACTCGAAGTTGCCTTGTCCATCACTCAGTAGGCCATCCTAGCGTGTGCCGACAGCTTCATGCCCTCATGGAGAGGAGGGATTCAAAGGAGATTTCCGGTTTGTCAAAATTCTACATATATATCCAGCCATTTCCCCCAGGACTGAACTGGACTAGAGCTGACTACAAGCACATACTTGTGGATCAGCAGAGAACATCCACCCTCCAAATCTTTGAATTGATCCTGTATTTCCCTGTGAATCTGATGGGAGCTTATTCATTCGCTCAATACTATTTGTTCACGTCCACCTCAGGAAAATGTGCCGCACACTCAAGGTGTAGAGCGGCGAGTAATAACCAGCCTGTTCGCTAACAAGTACGTATTTAGTACGTCGTGTTTGTGCTAGCTGGTCAGTTTGTTTAAGGCTAAATGATCCCATCAGAGAAATATAGAATGTAACTGGGAATTATTCCTGAGGCACATGTGGAAGCAAAATGGGAACGCGAGATCTGAAGCATCTTGAAATCATTAACGGTTTAAACCACACCTGACAGAGAATTAATGCCTCTAGCTATATGGCTGTATGCTGCTTTAAACTACTGTCCATGGACTCGTTAGAAAGTTTTTATCCGGCGACTCAACAAAAGTATGAAGGACGACATATGCTCATGAGTATTACGTCTAAATATTTGCATTTTCGGAAATTTTCGGAATGTCTTATTTTCCCTTGGAAATGTCACAGGTCTGTCAATCTTTCGCCTAAAGGACAACCATCTTCCTAAGGAACTCAGACAGCTAAATCGCTATTGGTCAGTATCCGTGAATGGGGTGCCTTGTAGCAAATGATTTTGGTAGGTGGACAAGATAGCTCCGAAGCATAGACATTAGATGTACTAAAGCATTAAAATGGTCGAAAGCATCGGTTCCGCCTCTTGCTTATTCGATTATCCGTTTAAAGTGTACTGGTGCCAATTTAGCTGAATAAGTTAAAAATGTGTCGGTCCTAATGATTGCTTTCATAATACAACTTAAATACCACCACCTACATTATCTGTTCTGTGCAGTGAAAGAAGACAGCTTTCAATCAGCTTGCTCAATATCTGTCCAGATATGTTAAGTATTTCCAGGCTAATTTGCCAGCTTTCCAAACAAACTTTTAACTGGATATCAGCTCTCTGTTATTTTTACTGCAACACCAATGGATTAATCTCGTTTAGTGGATTTGAATGGGGTACCAGCGAGCCCACTTCTTACAGCCCTGTGCAGTGTCCGGATTCGTCACGATAAAATTACACAGTTTTGTGTTCAGTGACACTGGGGACAGAGAATGAGAAAAAAACATTAGGAAGTTGTAGTTGCTGCGTGACAGTGTTCAATGAACAATGATTTATAACGGGTAAAAAGCAGGTGCTAGGCATGTCTCGTGAGGTGGTTATAGTGAGAAAAGATAGATCAAGGGATAATGGAAACGTCGGTTAAGGCGATTACAGATTTAACTGCCCTACCGTATAAAGGGATTTTGAAACTAGAATGTGCACACACAAGGCACTAAAGGGATTGGTTATTAACCACTAATAAGCAAGAAAAATATAAATATATAGCAAGCACAGCGCTTATGCGTGTGCAGCTATCTCGGGTCGATGGGATACAGGAATCCAGTTTCTACAATAGTAGCGTTTATCAAATTGTTTGCAAGGGGTTTGGAGTGACTCATTCTCGAGGAGGGTTATGGCACTGTCCACAGTCTGTTGTGCATTAGTGCAACCATCTAGTGGTCATGGGCTATAGCACATAGTGTAAATGTGACAGAGCGTAGTCAAGGCGTTTTTTGAAGAGGGATAGGGTTGGAGCGTTAATTACATGTTCCGAGAGGGCGATCCAAGTATGTGACACTTAAAGGGAGAAAAGTTTCCATGACATTCCAGTTGGCTGTACTGCGTGACCAGCTTAAACTGATAATCTCTTAGCAGGACGTTTTGAATGAGTATCAGAAGGGGATGGCATGGGTGGTTGGAGTTTCTCAAGATGTAGCGCACCATTAGGAGATCGCTCCTTAGACACCGATAAGGTTGTAGTGCAACAAATTTACATCGCATTTGCCAATGTTGACACACCTGTCATAAAGTGAATTCAAGTGTTCTACCACCGCTTGTATGATGTTTTTCCGTAGTGCATCGATGGTATGTACAAAGTGTTTCTTCATATTTGTGGTAAATTTGGCAGTCTGTCTTCGCTGTTACCATGAATTCTATATTTCTCTATACCGAAGTATTCCTAATGCGAAGATTGTACACTATAATTTTCGCCTTATCCCGTTTCATGTTGTATAATCCGATACAAAATGTATTGCATTTAGGTTTGTGTGTGAACATAGCCAGCGGAACCGATCACCATATTTTACCATGAAATAGTCAAAGCGCATGAATAGGGACAAGTTAGACAATTGGCTAACTCTGTGTTGGACCCGGGTGCAAATGTAGGGGTCAGTTTCCTTCGGTAATGAATGTTGTGAACACGTATGAAGCTACTTGTCATTTCCCACAGGCTGTCAGTTGAGTGAGCGACCACGCACACATGCATCATGACATTTGTGCAGACGAGCCTGGGGAAGTCGACACCAGCGCGGAGCACCTGGGAATCCTAAGCAGACCACCGCCCTCTGGGGAAAATAACTATGGTCAGATTTCATCCAGTAAACTCGCATATAAATGGGTTCATTAGCCTGAGGACTACACATGCAAACCAAACAACTTCTACCGTCTATGCTACGCTTTTGCCGGATGTCTGGTAGTGAGTGACGTCTGCCCAGTGCGCTAGATTCGGCAATTGAGAAGACGCAACTCATGTTAGTAAGCATATGTTAAAGAAGGCGCTGGAAATAATCTAACACTGACCATGCACAACTGTACTAGTTGGCAAAGAGTGTCCAACGTTCCAAACTATATCTGGAATTTTGCGTCTTTTGGATTTCAATCTTGAACTTTGCATGCTCTTATTAAGAAAAATGTGTTTGATTGGTCTGTTTGCCCTACTGGAAGAGTTTATGTCCGAGGCACTACCAGAACACTTTGTCTCAATGTACGTATGCGTTAATATATACGAATTCGTAATATGCAGGAAAGCATTACATTATCCAATATGCATGAATTTCGGCCGCCTATAGTCATTGTACTTTAAAAGATTTGGGTAACCTGAACAGACAGGGTGCCATGCCGCAATCCTTATTAAGAGTGTGACAATAAACTCATCTTGAGACACGTGTTGATACCTGTGTTACTGATTTATAGGCCGTACGTCAGAGTACAGCTTAGCTCTTAGCTATGGATTAGATTCGTATTGTGTGCGAGTGACATGTGGCCCCGCTTAACATATCAGTTTTCTATCCGTCCGGTGCTACCACTTCAATTAATTTATGGTAAGCCATCAAAAATGTTGCGCAGTACTGAGAAGAAACAAAGCATATGTAAAGTCCAAAAGGAACTTTGATGTATCCCCAAACTGGATTGCTTACCTGAGGACACGGTATCTCTTTTCCCTGATTATCTTGCACATTTACACTGCTTTTCTGTGTTTTACAAGCGGTTAACATATCGCATATTTATTTCTTACACTCCATCACTGACACATCCTTGAGGTTTCAAGGTCATGTTTATTATTATGTTACTGTGACACTGCCCAAATACTCGATCCGCCCCACGCTGGACAGTTTCTGCCCACTTGCATTACGATTGCGAAACCTATTGGTAAGTCATGTACTGTATTTATTATGCCATATAGAACCACGGTTACAGGATAATTCGTTTCTTCTTCTGCCCAGACCGTGCGTTAAGTCTAGGTTTATCTGTTCGTAGTTTTTAGTTTAGTTTTCGTACGACGTACTTAGTTTAGGCTTAGTGACGTTGGTACAGCATATATAAGTACTTAACTGGAGATGAGTATGTTGGTTATTATATCTTGAAGCCTGTGCTTATTTTGAATAGTAGGAACATCCCCAAATAAGTGTTAGTTGAAGATGTTATTTAACACGCGGTTCCCCGCACAAACATAGGTAGTCTAAGTTGCTGAGTTCTTGATGTCAAAACATCTTCATACCAAAGTGTACGTATTTCAGCAGTGGAATGGAAAGAGCTGAACAACCAATCAAACTTTTTGGGTCTGTGTCGATTGTTAATATGTCCCAATCATTAGGAACATAGCACATTTGCCGCAAAAGTTGGATAAGTTATCTGCCATGGTTGATGAATCCGAGCTTAGTAAATGTCCTCTTTACGGAAAACCCCTAGTCACCATTGGGGCTTAAGGCTTCACAGCAAAACCTAGTAATCATTGTGGTAACAACTAAGTTGCCGCCTGGGGCAAACGTCAAATTGCCACCCCCTGCCTTATGTAAATCCGTAAACGCACACGATGGCGAGCAGCACTTTAATATTTCTTCGCGTATAACAACGTTCAAAGATCTAACTAAAGAATGTTACCGTAAATACAGACTTTTGTTTTGCTAAAACATCAGGGAAAATGTACGGTCACAGGTTTCGCGCACTCCTTGTGGCAAAAGTAATGAGAACACTATATACATGCAGTAAGTTCTCACGTTCGGCTTTCATGCAAAACCGCGGATTCGTTGGCCTTGTCGGTTTCACGGATGAACTTCGCAACTGACTGCGGATATCACAGTCCTGGTCGTCTTTCGCTCTTGTGTTCGTTGGGTTAGTCTACACCCTACTTTATAACGTTAACATCCTTTTATCCCATAAGTATTCGTGGAATTCACTCACCTTAGTGATTTGGAATTGCTTCCTCATATTTACATGTGTTGTTTTTTGTATTTTATGTGATTCTACATTACGAGGATTTAGTCGCATCGAACGGTACCTAATTATGAAATTGCAAGGCAGACAAAATGTGGCAGTTGATCTAAGGTTTTGGCACATCGCGAAAATTCATTTACGTGCATTTTATGAGGCGTAAAGTTTCATATTTCGTGCATCTATCTGTCTCTGGACCGATGTCGCGTAATTCAAAGCATTCAGCACGACTTTTCGAAGACCATTTGCAATCAATGTTAGTCTAAGCCTGGGCAGAAAAATGCCGAAAAGACTGATAAGCGGATCAGTATAGCGAATATGGCTGAAACGCGAAGCTTGATTTGTCCTGCAGCACAATCAGAGAAACAGTCAACTCCTAGTACGGCTGCAAATCTATACTTGGAACAAATTGCTAGCGCTCCGGCAAGCTCGGCTTCAAGGCATACAATTTCTTCAGTTGGCACTAAAGATCTAAGTTGCAATAAGCAACTTGGTGCTACTGAATGGAAAATGCATATACTAAAGAAACCAAGAACAATGTCCAGTGACCTGAGGCGTCAAAACCTCATG